GATTAAAATTTTATTTGCAATTAAACGACGATGGACCAGTCGGCCGCGCGTGTGTTTGCCGTGGCAATGATCCATCTTCCCGGCAATGCACAAACCGTACACCGTTCCATGCAGTTAAATCCGATACTGTTCAGAGAAAAATCGAACCACCGATTACCACGATATTATTACAATACAAAGAGAAATTGTTTTAAAAAAACGAAATTGTAGTTAATCGTCAGAACGCGTGTAACGAAAATTGCGACGCACATGCTACTAAGGCATTAATTTTCTATCGTGCGGAGTAATAATGATTGGCGGAACAATATAAATAATTGGAGCACGAGGAACAAAGAAACTCATTGCAAAATTGACTTGTCCTTGTTCCCATTACGAATCCGCCTGAATCACTTGCCACGGAACACGCACGGCGAACAATTATGAGTAGCTGCTAATACCAGGCGGGGAGGGTTGCCCGCGAATTAGCCTAATTTTTTCCTAGCATGATCCACCGCCATCACGATTGCGAGCAATTACCATCGCTCCTCGATACATTAGTTCCGGCGGTTAACGTTTCAAGGCCTCCGGCGAACAGTCATCGCGGGTTTTGTTTCTATCGTTCTAAAAACGGTCTCGGATCCCTCATTTTAATTGGGCGGCTCGGATATACCGCGCGGCGGGGATAAACGAAATTTAGAAGCGCACTAGGATTATGTTTGCGCATGTTAAGTTCCGGATCATTATGCCGCGCCACGCTCCCAGCTACTGCGTGCATCTCGGTTGACAGTTAATGATTCAAGGTTGGCTTTTGTCATTGGAATTGTTAATGAGCCATGTTTATTGATCACCGCCGACGGGGATAGATTGGCACATGATAACTTGTCGAGATTTATGATGGGACGTTCGCTGCCCCCAAGATATGAATGCAGTCTATATGATTGATCTGTACTACTGAGAACGCGATCGACTCTTACTACTGAAATGTCTATCCTGTTCGAAAGACGTAGGCATACTGATGAATATGAGATTCTTTTTCATAGTGAATCTTGCAGACGCATTTGTAGTAAAATTAATAAAATATTTTTTATATCCTGAACCTCGATTTAATTATAATTTGTTTTTGATATTCTCAGAATCCTCAGTTCTCTAGGATTCTCATTCAAGTATCAAAAGTACTTTGCATAAAACAATTTCTTCGTGTTAAAAGAAAATAGTACATACATTGCTGACACGACAAAGAGTTTTTTCGAATAATAATAATAATAATAATAATAATAATGTTGACACCATTTATATTTATTGAGCAAGTCAGAGATCACTTTCACGAATTATTATAAAGAGTGAATTGCATCAATATTTCAACTCGACAGACTTTTGCAAATCGCGAGTTTATTCGCATCTTGATAGAAAATTGCAGTATAAAATTGTCCCCCTCCGAAGAATCGTGGAAAATTAATTGCGATCCATGTTCGTGAATTATATTTAATTCTTCCAACATCATTACTTTTACCTGAGATAAATGAACAATGTTTCCCGGGTAAATGAATCAGTTTGAAAGAACGCGTTTGCCGGGAGCGCGACGCCCTCCTAAAACGGAACGCGGCGACGGGTGGCGCGCCGTTCAGAATTTATCATTCGCGGTACGGGTGGCGGGTACGAGTTTCGCCAGTTCATTCGTCAGCGAGAGTTACACGGTCGGCGTGGCGTGGCGAAAATCGGGCGGCGGGAAAAAAAAGAAGCGGGCGAAAACGAGAAAATGGATGCAGCTGCGGGGCCGCAAGCGCTCCCGCTGATTGCCGGCTGCTGCCTGCCTGCCGGCTCGCGTGCGGATTTTGGATTTGCCGCGTGCAAACACGCGGCGGCGGTCGCAGTTGAATTATATGCTCGATTAACTTCGAATCGATTTTCGTGCCGTGCCCCGCATCGATTTCAAAATAATCGTTCCCCGGCTTATGAGCTGCTACGAAAATCCTCGAACTTGCCTACTTTCTTTTCCACAGCACGAGTGATTTGAGAAGGAAACGTCCTTCGTCGAATATGAACAAAATGACTAAATGAAAATTGATAGTGAAAGAGGTTTCATGAATTCCTGAAAGGTGTCCAGAAAAATGGTACAATACGAGTGATCCTTACCACAATTTTTAATATGCGCAACGAATTTCCCCGGCGCGCTCTGAAAATTGCCATTTTATTTGATTAAACGTAACGAAGAATGGTATTAATTTTGGTATTCGCATTATTCTACGTTTCTGACGGCGTTAACGAGGCTGGCGAACGTTCGTCGGGCGAAAACAAACGGATGTGATTAAATTCTTTATTACAAGGGACAGCTAGTTAGTTAACGGGGGATGATGAAGAGGGTGAATTCCCATTTCGGTTAGAACAGCGTAGGTGGAATATTGGGGAATTTTCACGCGCCGATTTAATCACCTACGTCGCTGTATCCGCTTTCGCTGGAAGTTTGACGAGAATTCGATATTAATTTCATCGAAATGGACAGTGTCATGTCAACTGATATACCGTATGCACATAATTAGAGAAATGCTTCACCGCGTCCAACCGGTAAATATGTTCTTCGACTAATACAGATATTTTCTAAACTCCATCGCGTACATGGATTCGTTTGTGCCTTCTTATTGCATCGACATGCTTCATTGTACTTGATAACATTTGATACATGAAGACAAATACGACATCGCATGTATCGTCATTGCAAAAAATACGTCCAAGTATAAAAAATACGTCTAAGTATACAAATCCGCAGTATAATCGTGACTAACTTTAAATAGGATTTATATGAATTTAATGTCGTTGATTAAACGATATCATCGCAACTGTATTGTCGTCACTAAGAGTTTCTTTCAGGTTCGTACAACCAGATAAGAATTTCAAAATTCTTTTAGTATTAAAGTACTTTGATCCCATGTAGCCATTTTCAAAATTTCCAATCCTTGTTAAAAAATTTTGGAAGTTTTGATACCAAGTTTCACAGTTAGTTTTCACAAGTGCAGTTAGAATTCGATGGCCGTCGCTAATTAAAATCGAGAAGCCGTCTAGGAGGGATGCGGGCATATGTTTCACGTGCATTCTTTCGCGGCCCGTCGCCGACGACGACGACGTCCAGAAGGGGGTAACTGGGTCGAACGTGAAAAAGGATTTCGCGGTAGTGTTGCGCGCTGGGATGAGCAGGTTGCGGTTAATTGGGTCATCGTCACGTCGCGTTTAACGAATGTTTAATTTGTCTCGTTACGAAGTCGGCCCCGTGATTAATTTCGATTAACTAACGCCGACGGCCTGACGCCGGCCGCCGCTCGGTATCCTCGTTACGCTCTTAACGTTGCTCGTGATTCGCTGATGAGTCTCCTCCTCAACGGATCATTCAGGTCATCTCTAACTAGCCTTATCATTTTAATATCGCAATTTCCCCTAAAACGTTCTGACTTCGTCAGCCTTTTTATTATCTCAGCTTTTTCCCGTCTATTCATTTACCCCCGGCTATTTTTTATTCATTCAAATCCGCCATTAATCCGTAAAATCAACACGCATGACGATCAATTTAAGGATGTATTGGCTATACAGTCAATCCCAAAAGTTTATGTACCTTAGAAAAACTCATTTCCTATAATTAAAAAG